TATAACATATTGTTATCTGATAATATTAATACACTAATTTAATAGTAGTAGTTAATAGTCAACTTACGTCATTTTCTAGGCTTTTACTATTTTAAAGTAGTTTCTAGGCTTTTCTATACGCGTTATTTTTTTAATTTTATTTACTAACAACCCGTATTACGGGTTGCTAACTGCGAGTTATTATTAATGTTGTTATTATTATTATTTTCTATAGTTATAATTTTAAAAATAGAATAATTAGGCATATAAAATAAGCCTATCAACTTTTTGTTCTATTGTATCTACTTGTGTAGGTCTAATTGTTTATATGCAATTGTACTTTTGATGTACCCAATATGCACCTTGATGTTTTTTAAACATTGTGACAGATGTTGAACACACTATTTCAGATGGTAAACTATTCTAAAAATTTGTAAATTGCATACTTTTTGTAAATGCAATGCATTTTAGTAAAGCTGCACAGAGCAGTGAACGCCTTAGGGATGAATAATAAGTTAAAAAGAGTTTAGCAGAGTGAGATAAAAGTACAAAAGGACAGATGTCCAGTGGAAACCAAAAAGCCTCAAAGTAGAAAAATATTCAAAACTGATATAAGTAAAATGTAGTAAAAAATAAATAAGAATAATAAACAATAGTCAAGGAAAGTCATTAGTTGTTGTGTTACTAAATTGTTGTTAGAGTCCAGCGTAAATATGATGTATAGATAGAATTGGTAATGGAGTAGAATTATTCGTTTTATAAGTAGTCACCATGTGATTTGTGTTATTAGGGTGATAAACATACATTATGGATATAAGTGTGTCATGAACGTCTAGAGTACAGCATGGATTTGTGCCTTATGGTACAGTATGAACACAGTATCCCAAAAGAAGTTCCACTCTGGGTCTACACCAGGGTATATTTTTAAGGTATCCCATTGGGTTATCCCAAAAGGACTATTCTCAGAGTATACAGTCAGGACGATTGCCACAGACCTTTTAATTGACACTGAGACCAGAGGACAATTAGTGGGGTTAAGTACAACTTGCAAACAATAGTAAGTAATTTTTTGACTTGAGTGTCCATAAGTCTAGCGTTTTTTCAAAGTTTAGCATGGGTCAATGAGAGTTGTGAACTGCTTTGAGTTCATTTGGGTATGTGTAATGTAAATAGTTAATTTGGTTTACGTGTGTAACTATTGTAGTAGCATGCCTCAATTATAAGAGTTATCAGTATAAAAAATAGTTAAAGGTTCTTTAAATTGGTGCAACGTATGCTAGACGTGAATTTTAGTAGTCCTATGACGTGTTTATGGAGAATAAACAAACTATTACTAATAGTTGATCTAATGATCTAAAATATTAAACTGGAATTACATTAATATAGCAATACGAACTAATATATAAATTTTTTAACTAATAATCTTTATAAAAATTACACTAATACATAACAATCATATGGAGTTTTGTAGTTTAACCAGGTAATATGAGGTTTCGAAAAATTCTTTGGCATTTTGTATAAGAAAAAGATTCACAGGGCATAAGTCACGTGACTGTGATATTACGAGAAGTATATAAAGTGGAGTAGAATTATTCGTTTTATGAAAATCATCGCCTGTTTTTTGCTTAATAATATTCATAGTGACTTGTGTCTTAAGTCTTTCAGTGTGAGTTTTTTGTAGTAAAATAATTTTATTAGTTGTTAGAAACTTATAATTGAAATTAAGTAATGTAATATCTAGTAATAATGTGAAATTATTGTATTTTATTTTTTATTAACTTAAATCCTTATTAGCATTTTTCTAATATTTTAACAGAGTAAAGACAATACAGTAACAATAACATGTGTATATATGTAAGTGTACTAATTAAGTGTTAGTGCTTATCTTTTATGAAGGGATGTGTATGGGTGTACATGATAGAGAGAATTATTTGTTTTTTAAGTAGTTACTGGTGATGTATGTGACAGAGTTGGAGTAGAATTATTCGTTTTTTAAGTAGATATCAGATGGTAAGGATATTATTATAATAACCCTGACAGTAGAAGTCAGTAATTGAAATGGTTATGGTTAGCTGAACTGTTACTATTTGGTCTGACTGATGTATAGCAGCGGTAATATTTGGAGTGGAATGATTCATTTCATTAATATTTGTGTGGTGTTGTTAGCGTCATAAGAATGATAAATACACATAGTAAAAAGATGCAGTGAATATTGAAAGAATATTAGATGTGGTACCTTTATTGTACTTGACAGGAGTCATATATTAAATATTATGTATGACTCAAGTAGTATTATATTAAAGCACATATACAAATACATATACAAATGCAAATACATTGAAGAAAATTTTTTTAATAGAAATTAATTTTCAGGTGGCGCACCGACTGCAACTTATTCTCATAGGACCTGCTTTTGCCGTTAAATTTCACTTATATTTTTATTAGATATTGATAAATAATTTTACGTATATAAATTTGTGTTTAGATTTTTATGAAGAAGCTCAGTCGTGCTTAGAAAAAGCACGACTAAGCTTCTTTTTGAACTCAAAGAACTGGTTTAAAATTTCTGCTATATTATCTTCTACGTCATCGTTACGACGTTTGATAATGATTTTTTCTCCCTTAATCAAACACTGCATGAACCTTAGTTCCAGGCGGTTGCAAATTTTTATTATTTCGTAAATAAAGCAGTTTTCCTTATTAACATTAGATATTTGAAATCAAGGAAAAACAAGTCGGATTGCTCAGTAATCTGATAAACAGATTTAATTTGTTTTAAACGAGGATGGTAGATACGTCATCGATTTTAAAGTAGGAATGCAGTTTTTGGTGTATTTTGAAATACTAAAGAGAAATTTTAATGCTGATCTTCCAACAGCGTCTAATTTATTAAGAAAAGTATTGCTATAATCACAAATTTCTAATCCATATGATAGATTTGGTATAGTCAGAGATATGAACAAATGCACTATAGTTACTGGTTGACAAAAACGAATTCCAGATTTTATAAGAGCTCTGGAGATTGATTGAAATTGAATAATTTTTTCGTTTACATTTGCTGATTGGATTGTAGCTATATTTTGTCCATGGCTTTGATTTTCCCATAAGAATCCGAGGTGTTTCAGTTTATTATTGAGTTTCAGGAAAAAACCGTTGATTTGTATTATGCTTTTTGTAACTAAACTTTTACCGGAGATAATGAACTCGGTTTTTTCTGTGTTTAATTTGATATAGAAGTTTTGACATTGCGTTTGAACTTTATTAATCGACTCTTGTTGCCCAGAAAGAGTAGGACTTTGCAAGATTATATCATCTGCATAAGCAATAATACCAGTGTATGAACCCATTACTGTTGTTCCAACTTTACAATCGGAAACAATTTGACTTAATATACTTTCAGTATAAATGTTGTATAAATGTGGCGATAAAATGGATCCTTGTCGGACACCTTGAGACAAGCGGAAATTATTTGATTTATGTCCAAGGTATGATATATTAGCTGTACCCGAGCGGTATAATGATTGTAGTGCGGAAACTACTTATAGCGGTAACTTTTTGTTGTAATAAAGTTTCTCAAACAGCAAATCCCAGTTACAGCTATCAAAAGCCTTATTTGCATCTAAACTACAGATATATAATGGCGAGTTATTATTATTATAACGTTTTAATGTGTCACTCAATAGGAACTCTGCATGCAGGGTGGAGCTATTTTGCTTGAAACCAAATTGATGCACGGAAACCAAATTTAACGCACGGAAACGAGTAAGCTTTTTAATGTTTTTGATTTAATTCATTGCTTTTTTCTATAAACATTTTTTTAATCTTTTTATATTATTTGTTAAAAATGGCTACGCATTTTGAAAATTTGAAATCTTTTGAGGGTAACCTTATTAATAACCTGCTTGAAGAATAAATATTAAAAATATTTATTCTTCAAGCAGGTTATTAATAAATATTTTTCAAGAAACTCAAATGAACTTAAGAGTCATTTTTAGTAAGAATCAAGCAGTCAATGGAAGTGACCTCCTCCAAATTGCTTGAATTTTTTATATATTGATCAGAATATAGAGAAAACCTGTTGGGGAAAAAATTTTTTTTAAAAATGTTTCGTTCACTCGGAATCTGGGCTTAAATTTTTGAGATTTTTTTAAAAATTTTTAGAAACTTAGTTTTTGCCACCTTTGAACCCATTTTTTCGGCAAGGCAAAAAGTTGCACATAGCTTTTGTAGTTAATATCAGACGTAACCCAAAAGCTCTCTCCAAAAAATATAAAAAAGTTGCGTGACACTGTGCGGTTGGCTAATTATCATAGTTCAAAAGTACAAAATCAATCAGTTTTGTCAATTTTTAATCGGAGTTAATTCTAGCGGCGAAGTGTTGCACGCAATTTTTCTTTTAGGATTTGAAATTATTAAAGGTATTGAGTCTAAAAATGCAAAGAAAGTTATGTGATACCTAAGGCCTATTAATATATTAAGGCTTGAAATTGGAAAAAAATGTTATAGTATACTTACAAAATGAGCTTTTACGGTAGAGGCGCTAAGTTTTATAAAAATATAATCATGTTAAATGATCAATATAAGATGACCCTAACATAGTTTAAAAAAAAAATCATGTGATCTTTAGATATTAAGTTAAAAATAAAGGTACAAATTGTTAAAAATAATTAAGTACGAAGAGATATTTTTTTGGACACACAGATGAGGTTTTCGCTCACAATAAAATTTCTATCATCCAAAATTAGCAATTAGCATTACACAAAACATTGCACGTAATGTTAAGAAAAAATTTAAGCGTTTCTGACTATGATATAGAAATAATAACAATTGAAATAAATAATAATAAAAAACAATACATGATCAGAAGTGAATTATTTAAATTTACGTCATAACCAAATAACTTGTGGTGATCGAATGGAAGAAGAATCGCTGATATCACGATTGTAGAGAAACAAGATAGTAGGCGGTTGTTTACTTTACCATAAAAATGTCTTAACTTTATTTTAACGATTTTCAAAATTTGCATAAATAGAGTAGATATTTTATCATTGCTATTGAGAAATAGGTACTGCATAAATAGAACTTGTTTTTAGTTGAGTATGGAACAAAACAAATATTTTTATGAAAACTGTTGTTGCTTTTCAAAAGGAAATTGTGGATCATTCAAAAAACATAAAATTATAAAGAAAATGTTCTACATTCATCAGCTAGGAGATGTTGATGTTAAGAAACACCTCATCAACTTAAAGGTAATTATGTATTTTAAATTTACGCAGACTGTAATATAATTTTTATAATTACATACTTTATAACTTCTCTGCAATAAGATTTTGAGACAAAGTTCTTTAAACAAAAAAAAAAATTAGCTCTTTTAATTAATTCCTCACTCTTTTAATAAATAATCACTAAATTAATCACACTCTTGCAATATTGTATTTTAATAATAACAACAATGTATTTCAAACTTGTAAACATTTTTCGTGAAGAGTCAGATTATAAACAATGCTTTAAATGACACACTTAATAATTGTTTAAAAAATTGTTTTTAGGTCATGCGATTAAACGATAATAATATTTGGGAAGAAAATGGACTTATTGCAAATAGACTTAAAAGAAATCTTGAAAAGGATGAACAAATATGTGCTTTTCACCGGTACACGTTTGGTATTGCATGGAGTCCTCCAAAAACATGCTTTCATCCTCACCATCTAAATATAAAAGGAAAAAAATCTCCCGCTTTAAGGGCGTCACCAATACATGTCGTCATATCAATGTCAAAGCGATACAATGAAGTATTTTCAGTTGGTGCAATACTGTGTTTTACCCATTTAAAGCAAGAAACTGCTTTATCTAGAGTCAACGAAAACACCAATTTATGTACAGAAACACAAACACAACAAGAACAAACATATATGACACCTGCTACTCCAGATGAAGAATTTGATCCCGGTGAAATTAATGTTTCACAGGAGATTTTGGACGAATCTCTAAGAAGCCGTGAGAGTGTAACTGAGGTTCTTAATGCAAGTCCAATAAAATTTAGATTAAAAAGGAAGTTCGAATATCTGGAAGATACTACTAAAGATAAGTTAAAACGCAAGTATGTTCGCCTAGAAAACTTATTAAAGAAAAAATTTGCGGAAGCTGTTGCTCCTGGACAAGAGGAAATACTTATAGATTTTCTTAACAGTAAAAATGTTGATGAAATAAATAGCCCTCTCCCAATTGAAATTATTCGTGCTCAGAAAGTATATAAGCAAAGTGATTCCATGGGAAAGTTAGTTATCCTCTCATTATTAGACCATACCAAGTATACCAAAAAGTTTATAATGAACACATTTGAGTGTACCAAACATCGTATAGAAACAGCAAGAAAATGGCATGCATCTCATAAAGGGTTGGCATTTCCAGAGAAGAAAGTATTTGTCCGATCTAGTCTTGATCAAACAAAGTGTGAACATTTCTTAGACTTTATATTTACAAGCGGTATTTTGCATGATGTTGCTTATGGAATAACCAAATTAAAATACGACAGCGGTGAAGAACAAAAGATAGTGCATTCTATTGAAAAAGTTGTAGTGAAAACAATTATATACCATTATCTGATTCAGGTTTGTGGAAAGTATTGCATGCAATAAAACCTTCAAGTCGAAAAAGCTTAGCTGGATTAGATGATGTTACTGCTTCAGGCATGAATGGTTTTCAAACATTACAAAAATTGGCACAAAGATTTAGTTCTAAATCTCTCGAAGCTGCCCTTGAAAAAGGAAAAAGGTATTTTAAAACAAGTTATCAAACCAATTGTAGTGTCAATGACTCAAACATTTCTTCTCATAGCTCAAAACATGCCTTATCAGATCCATCTGAAAAAAATCTTCAATCCAACACAGAGATATCAGAAGTGGTATGTGCCGATTGCTATGATTTGTGCAAAGCTATCGAGATGATCAAAGAACTAACAATTCAAAATTCTGACGATGCTGATTCTATTTATGATTTGGAAATTGCTGTAAAGGTTGTATTCAACTACATAAAACACCTGATGAGAGATTCTCAACAGAAAAAGGCAAAAATCGAAGCTTTTAAGCAATTAAACGATGAAACTGCTTTCTGGCTTAAAGATTTTTGTCAAAAAATTCTTCTGGTTTGATACAGAGAGGGCCAAAGAGAGTATTTTGGCAAGAAAGAAATGAGTTTACATGTGGATATATTCTTCATAAAAATAGCAGGAAAGTTATTCAAACGTGTTTACTTTACTTCAATGTATAGGTGTGATCAGGAAATAGGTGATGTTGTTTCGTTAGCCACTGCAGTTTTAGACCAATTCAGAATTGATCAACCGCATATCAAGAAAATGTTTATCAAATCTGATAATGCCGGCTGCTATCAGGAAAATCTTTCAGCTGAAGCAATCTACAATGTATGCAAAGAGAAAGATATAAAGTTGCTGAGATATGATTATAATGAACCCTTTTGTGGAAAAGATCAATGTGACAGGGAGAGTGCAGTTGTAAAGACAATTTTAAGGAGTTACTGGTAATAATCTTTTGACTGCTGAAGATATACACAAGGCTATGCATTATAGTTTTGGCGCTAAAGATGCAAAAGTAGCAGTTGCTCAAATTAGCAATGATAAAACTGTAGTTACTGGACCAAAGATTAAGAACATTAGCTACTATCACTCATTTGAGTTTGGTGAGAAAAGTATGAAGATGTGGCGTTATTTCAATATCGGTGAGGGAATTGAACAAGAGTATGGAAATCTTAAAATTCAACCCTCGAATAAGTTGTTGTTGCCATATAGCAAAACAGATAATTCAATTAAGCGTAACAAGTCACTTAAGGAAAAACAGAAAAGAAGTGACAGGCAATTATATTCATTAAGATTTTGAACTGAAATGAATTGTACTTTATCATTTGAAAGCGATGCTGAGTTAGAAGAACACATGCTATCCGGTCTTCATACAGTTCCGAAATCATTAACATCATTGGATAAAGTTCGCAACTCGTTTGTTCATAAGATGAAAATTACTTCACAACTAAATATGCCAATTTCTTCATCCTCTAACAGTGCTTCCGCAAAAGACAAACCACATTGCATGAACATTTTTCTATTGCAAGGTTGGGCATTACCAGTTCGAAGCTCTTTTAAATTTTCAAATCAGCAGAAAGAACTGTTGTATAAATACTTTATTCGTGGAGAAAAATCAGGTAATAAAATGAGCCCTGAGCAGGTTCACATGCAGCTGAGGAGAGAACTTCCGCCTGATCAATATGTAACTAGTCAACAGATAAGATCTTTATTTTCAAGGTAGGCATTGTTGCTATCAAAACTTTTGCAAATTAGATTATGTTTCTGACTGTTAAATAGTTCTTTTACAAATATGAAATTAAAATTTAGGTGAAAGTTATAATTTTGTGTGTTTGTTTACATATGTTTAAAAATATGTACAATTGATATTGTTATAGATTTAGTAACCTGAAAAGAAAAGGTAAGCTGGTAGAACCGACAACAGAAAATAATGAAAATAGTCAGGTTAACGATAACAAAGAAGTTTATGGCGAAAATGATGACTTTAATCTGACAAGAGACAATGAAGATGATAATAAATATGAGGAAGACATCGCCAATCTTGCAAAAGAAATTTGTCTTGTATGGAAAGTGAATGATTGGGTTGCTGTTGCATATGAAAAACAATGGAATATTGGATATATTGTAGAGGTAATATTATTCAAAGTATATATTAGTTTCAAGTTTTTATTTTGTTTTACAAAACAGTGCTCTAAAATAAAAGGAATATAAATAAAATGTAAAAATAACTCAGAATGACATTATATAAGACTTTACAAGTTTTATTGAATGTAAGCAAAATTAAACAAATCATAAACTCTTTATTAAATTATTTTAAATGTTGCGCTAATACTAATAATTTTAGGTATCTATAACTGGGATCAGAGTTAATTGTATGATTAACGGGCAAGAGAAGAATACTTTTCGCTGGCCAGTTACTACCGAGGAGATAAATAACCAAACTGATAAAATTATCTGTTTAGTAAATGCTCCTTTTCTAATCAGTGGTTGTGGCGATTATTCATTATCCGAAGAAGACTATAATACAGTCATATCATTATTCTTAGAAAAACTTACTGCAGCAGAGTAGAAATTATGTGTGATGTGGTGGATAATGTGTGTAAATGACTCTATTAATAAATGAAAAACTAATTTTTAAATGGAAAAACATTTAAATGTTTGATTTATGTTTTATTTAATTAGCAATATAGCTATCTTGATGTTAGATTTTTGTTCAGTTTTTAATTCATGTTATATCATGCGTGTGACAAAATCACACGAATTTTTTTTATTATTATGTTAGGACCTTTTTGTATTGACAGTTGGATATGTTTACATTATTACAAAACTAAGCGCCTCTGCCGCAATGGTTCATTTTGTAAGTATGCTAAAACATTTTTTTCCAATTTCAAGCCTTAATATATTAATAGGCCTTAGGTATCACATAACTTTCTTTGCATTTTTAGACTCAATACCTTTAATAATTTCAAATCCTAAAAGAAAAATTGTGTGCAACACTTCGCCGCTAGAATTAACTCCGATTAAAAATTGACAAAACTGATTGATTTTTTACTTTTGAACTATGATAATTAGCCAACCGCACAGTGTCACGCAACTTTTTTATATTTTTTGGAGAGAGCTTTTGGGTTACGTCTGATATTAACTACAAAAGCTATGTGCAACTTTTTGCCTTGCCGAAAAAATGGGTTCAAAGGTGGCAAAAACTAAATTTCTAAAAATTTTTAAAAAAATCTCAAAAATTTAAGCCCAGATTCCGAGTGAACGAAACATTCTTGAAAATTTTTTTTTTCCCCAACAGGTTTTCTCAATATTCTGATCAATATATAAAAAATTCAAGCAATTTGGACGAGGTCACTTCCACAGTTTCAGGAATTTGCCTGATTCTTAGAAAAAACGGCTCTTAATTGACACACCATATATTGATCCTTT